TAACAGTTTTTTGCCAACCTAGAAGGGGGGAATGGCTCACCTTATATGCTTCCGAGCCTTTGGTCTTTTTCATCCCTCGTATGTTGCTTTCAGTTCGCCAACGAGGATGAGCTCGCGGAGTAAATTTCTTGAATCAACAGGCTACGTAAACCACCACCCATGAATAAGATTTGTCCCATCAATGGTACCGCATCTCATAAGTTCATTAATACAGATCCTACTAATAAAGTATTGAAATTTGCTTAATACTAATTTTATTTAAAAAGATGATTATGTTTTAAAAGAAAATTTAACTATGAATGATGGAATAGAGATTAACAATCTTCACTCTGGAGAAAGATTCCATGAAATTAAAATGTCACGACTTGTGATTTCACCTTAGTTAATTCAATTCAATTTCGCTCATCGAGTTTTAAAAATTGCATGCAGTTGATAGAAATTTCCTAGCTAGCTTATTTGATAATTTCCCTCGAGCAAAATTAAATTTATATGAATTCATTATTATCCCTATGTGAATAGCGATATATAAAAGTGCATTGAAAACATAGAAATTCACACACGACCACACAAAAATTTTTATCTCTATCTTCATCTTCTATCTAAATTTATGATTTTATGATAAAAGTTAATAACCTAATGACACGTATGTTACATCGAGGTCTTCGTATGGTTCTCAAAGCATTCCTTGAAACGATAAGGAAAACACAGCACAAAAGCATACTTGAAATCAAAAAATGGAAATTGAAATAATATTATCAAAATAGATTACTTCATTCATCATACCTTAGAATGTTTTGGTTATCAACCGGTTGAACTCGTAGCCAAACTCCAAGAATGCAGCTTTTTTTCTTTGCTTTTTCTTAGCTAGAAACTCTCCTGCATCTCTCTTTGTCAAAGGCAAGATATACCATTTTTTTTTTCAAAAACTCATTTTTCTAAAATTCATTTTCAACCACACGTTCTCCCATAAAATAATTTGACACGTAAATCTTTAATTTTTTTTTTAACCACACATTCTTCAAAAACTCACCATTCCAAAATACATTTCTCCCCAAAAATGGGGCTCAGGGTTTAACCCCTTGAAGTCCAAAGAGATAGAGTACATCCACTTTTGGGGGTTGGGACCTCTATTTTCATACAAAACGTACCCATTTATGCCCCTAAAACTCAAACTTTCGCTCGCGAGATATTTTCCTTTATTAATTTTCGCTTGCAGAGACATTAGCCCCCGTTGAATTGATATTTATCTATTTATGTGTAACACCTCGTTACTCTTAGTTCACATTATTATGAATAATGTAGTTGAATTAATGCTTAAGATCAAACGAAACAAAAGTTTGGTCATCTTGAGCAATTGACATTGTTTACAAAGTAGACACGCATCTTCTAACTAATAAAATTGGAATATTCGAAAAATGAAAATGAAGGTGACACTTGACAATTAAAAATCAATGCCATACCTTTAATATCACCTCTCCAAACCCTTTGAATTTATTCTTTTTGCGATTCGTCAAACGTCCCTCATGCCCAACATATGGAACGTCAAGGGGACAACTAGTTATAATAATTAGGTTTAGCATCTTATAAGAATTCCTTTTTAGAATTGGGTTTTGACATATATTCTATCTATTTGTCAGCGTGTTAAAATCTAGATCATACTAACTAAAAAGAACAATTAGACCATTTTCATCATACAATAATAAGTAAAACTGAACATGATTAAATATTAAAAGAGTGGCGTTTGGTAAAAATTTCAAGTGCACGATATCAATAAACAAGTAATATAATCAACATTTCCATTAAAACTATTCTATCTATTTATCGGTCCAATTATGCCGAACATCTATTTGAATTAAAGAGTAATGTTGAGATTTTCCTAAAAATCTATTCATTGAGAAAACAAATTGTGAAATTAACATGAATGTGCATTCAATTTTCAATTTTAAATTGATAAATTTAGCCTACAAGAAATTTTTTTTAAAAAAACCCAAAAATCTTGCAAACCTGATTCAAAACTTTGCGTAAAAAGCTTTGTGACCGTAAACTTATGTGATTTGTTACTAGTACGTGATCGTGATCATAAATTGTATGTTATTGTGATCTTGACATGCTTAATTAATTATTCGGTACATGTGAATTTGGCATCTTTTAACATTCATAAAGTACTCAACTTGTTTATGATTATGTGGTAAGGTATAAAGGGAAGACGTTTAGGCAGAGGGTTATGAGATGTTCCNCTATTCTTCCATTCAATACCATGATTCACATGGTAACCATGAAACTATCATCGTCCAATTACCTCCTATGGAAGAGCCAGCTTCTCCCTCTGCTGGAAAGTCAAGATTTACTCGGCCATGTGGATGGCACTCTACAGCCACCCCCACTTTTTGATCCTGAAGGCTCTAAGACGCCAAACGTCAAACATCTGGCGTGGAAAAACACGGACCAGCTTCTCTTGAGTCTCCTTCTCTCCTCTCTCACCGAAGAGGCCATGGCCGAAGTCGTGGGCCTCTCCACCTCACGCGAAGTCTGGTTAACACTTGAAAACATCTTCAGTCATCGATCAAAAGCCAGAGAAATTCGTCTCAAGGACGACCTCCAATTGATGAAGCGTGGGACTCGATCAGTACCTGAATATGCAAGATCTTTCAAAGCCATTTGCGATCAACTTCATGCCATTGGAAAACCCGTTGAAGACACTGATAAATCTCACTGGTTCCTCCGAGGAGGTTCAGAATTCACGAGTTTCTCCACTGCCCAAATGGCCCAAACGCCCCTGCCCTCCTTCTCCGATTTGGTCTCCAAGGCCGAAAGTTTCGAGATCTTCCAGCGATCTCTTGAATCCCATGGTCCTCCTACTGCCGCCTTTACAGCCACCAATCGTGGCCCCAATCGCCCAATTTTCAGGCACCCAAACCGCCAACAACAGGGACGCAACTTCCCTTCCACCCGCGGCAATGGGCGTCCCAATTTCGGGCAGGGACGTCGTCCACCACGTTGTCAAATTTGTCGGCAAGAAGGCCACTACGCCGACAAGTGCAACCAACGGTATGAACGGGGAGGGAGCAGAGACATTGTGGGTAATGCAGCCCACCTAGCAGAGGCTTTTAATGCTTCATGTTCTGTTAATGGGCCTGAGCCCAGTGATTGGTACCTGGACACAGGAGCTTCGGCCCACATGACACCAAATCCCTCCCAATTGAATCAGACCATTAATTATATGGGTAAGGACCAAGTAATTGTAGGGAATGGTGCTTCCCTACCCATTACCCACACCGGTACCATCTCTCCTATACCTACACTTGACTTATTAGATGTTTTAGTCGTTCCTCGTCTAACAAAAAATCTCTTGTCCATTAGTAAATTAACATCTGATTTCCCCCTTTCTGTTACATTTACTAATAATCATTTTTCTATCCAGAATCGTCAAACGGGCAGGGTGGTGGCAACCGGTAAGAGAGATGGCGGCCTATATGTGCTGGAGCGCGGACATTCCGCTTTTATTTCCGTTCTTAAAAATAAAACTTTACATGCCTCGTATGATTTATGGCATGCTCGTCTTGGTCATGTAAACCATTCTATTATTTCCACTTTAAATAAAAACGGTCATCTTTATCTTACCTCCTTATTACCTTCTCCTGCATTATGTGACACGTGTCAAATTGCAAAGAATCATCGCTTGCCCTATTCTCGTAACGATCGTCGATCGTCTAATGTGTTGCATCTTATTCATTGCGATATTTGGGGTCCTTCTCCTGTCAAGTCCAATTCGGGATTCATTTACTATGTACTATTCATTGACGATTATTCCCGTTTCACTTGGCTTTATCCTATGAAATTAAAATCTGAATTTTTTGATATTTTTATTCACTTTCAAAAGCTTGTGGAAAATCAACACTCCACCCGTATCAAAATTTTTCAAAGTGATGGTGGTGCCGAGTTTACAAGCAACCGCTTCAAAGCACATCTTAGCACCTCGGGTATTCACCATCAACTCTCTTGCCCGTATACACCCGCTCAGAATGGGCGTGCTGAAAGAAAACACCGACATGTAACTGAGATGGGACTGGCACTCCTCTTCCATTCCCACATTTCTCCCCGTTTCTGGGTTGACGCCTTCAGCACTGCAGCCTACATATCAACCGTTTTCCGACACCGCTTTTGGAAGGTATATCCCCTTTTCAGCTTCTTTATGGTTCCTCACCGAACTATGAGAATTTTCATCCTTTTGGTTGTCGTGTTTATCCATGTTTGCGTGATCATATGTCCCACAAATTTTCTCCTCGCAGCGTCCCTTGCATTTTTTTAGGATACAGTCCTTCTTATAAGGGATTTCGCTGCCTTGACCCCGCTACGTCCAGGATTTATATCACCCGACATGCCCAGTTCGATGAACAGGTTAAAGGGAGATTTCTAGCGAGACCGGCCCAGCCTATCTCCTCACTCCACATTTCAAATTTTCTTGAACCAAGCCTACCTCAACCCGACCCACCCTCACTGTCCCCTTTGCATCATTCTCCGCATATTACTTCATCCAGGTCTAACCCATGTGTTATTTGTACTGATCCAGTGGATAAGTCTTTGCAGGTTACTGATTCTTCTGCAGGTCCCTCTTCACCTTATCAGGAGCCTCAACCGCCCTCTGTTGAATCTGATGTTACTCCACTTCTCACTCCTCCGCCTCCTGCTCCAGCTCCTCATATGGGTTCTCATCCCATGGTCACACGAGCTAAAGCTGGCATATTCATAACCCGC